AATCCCTCATCACCCCGCTCATATCCCTACTTACAAACGTCATTGCTAATCTTATCCCACCGCCAAGAATTCCTTAAATGTCCTCAACAAAACCCCTTTCCATTCTCCTCTAGAATGGGAATGGTGTTCGGAACCACATAAACGAACTAACTTTTTTTCTGCAGGACAATAACATTGACATAGCTCTAATAACTGAGACCCGACTAACTAACAAACGACAATTCAACTTTTTTTTTTTTTTTTTTTTCTTCCCTACCTCGCCATTTAGGCTATACGGGATTTTCCCGGGCCGGGGGGTGAGGGCGGGGAATTTAAAATCCCCTCCGGCACCGGGATGCGAACTCGTACTTTTTATATCATCTCAAATCTCTGTTATCCGGTTGCCAGGCAACTAGCGGTGCTGTGCACACGATGACAATTCAACATGCCTCATTACAAGATTTACCGAACTAACCACCCTGATGTAACAGCACATGGAGGTACTGCCGTCATCATCCATCAATCTCTCTCCCATCACTTATATCCTTTACCAGTACATAATTTCCTACAAACCACAGCAGTAGTAATCCAAACCTCACTTTTTCCTGTCACAGTTGTCGCAGCATACTCTCCGCCTAAAATAACAGTACCTGCATCTAATTTCATTTCCTTTCATAATCCCTTAGCACAATCCTTATCCAACTCCAGCCATCCCTACAATCCTCCTCGAAGATTAAAAAGGCAGTGGCCTCGAGATCTTTTGTAAATACGTCATTGAAGTGCTGGCAATGGCCAGCTTCTCCACTAAAGTTATGAGCCAATGTGGCTTTAGCGCCCTTTCTCAGTCTCCACTGGATCTACATCTCAGTGATGCGGCTGAGAGAGAAGCGCTGGGATCTCTTAGAGCCTTACCTCATCTTCCACACGTGGGGGAAAGGGCTCGACTTGGAACTCCCTCGGCTGACTGTAAATATTGTAAATAAGCATGAATGTTTTATTTATTTATTTTTGTTTTGTTTTTTCGTTTTTCTGGGAAGTTGTCTATTTATTTTTAGTTATTTGGCAATAATAATTTTCAATTGGTAACAATTGAGTATATTTCTATTACCAACGTTACATGTTAACAAGTTAGTTGATGTTTCGGGATATTTACTCCCATCTTCGGAACTACAATCCAAATAATCTTGTGGATGCAAGGCTAAAAAAAAATGTGCTCCATCGTCAAATTTCTATTTCATGTTATAAAATGTATCATCTAGAGCAACATCCTGCTTTTGCCCAATAATTGGGTGTCTGCCATTGTTTTGTTTTTTATTTGTGTTATATCATATTTTATTTTATCTGTTTTACTAAGGTTTCTTTTTCTTATTTTTGTTATAATTTCTATTTATTTATGTAATTTTATATATTGTACGAATGAGTTTCTTATATCTCAAAAACTTAATGCCCTTGATTGAGGCAAAATGTATTTTTTCTCAATAAAAAAAAAACAAGAAAAAAAAAACATCAAAGTGTACCTGTTTGGCTTTCCTTTGTAAAACCAATATTTATTGACCAAGAACTTTCAAAATGTATTCGTTTTTCATAAATTTAAAGCCAAATCTCCTGATTCCATAAGTTTTATTATTATAATTTTTCGTCATGTTTAAAAAATTCTTAAAGATAAATTTTCAAAGTTGTGAGAAAAATATAGAAAACTATGTGTGGCTAAAATCTCTCTCCAAATCCCCCAATAAAAACATATATTAATGAAAACAGCATAAAATTTTCTACCAAATGCAAAAATAATATTAGTGGTCATTCGAGTTTGAAGAATTTTATTACAATTTAAACCTAATACAGAAAATTTGAATTTACCAGTTACAAATACAAGTATAAATTGCTTAAATCTCTCTGGAAAAAGCATAAAATATTTTATCAGATCATGAAATAATATTTGTGGAATTTTGAGCACTAAGAGATTTATTATTATGTAAATCAAATATTTTTTTGCATGCAACGGAAATGGTGTGCTAATCGATATAAAAAAAATTCTTTTAGATAAAACATATCTCTGAATATCCCAACACAATCATATATTAATGAAAATAGCATACAATTCACTATAATATGAAAAAATAATAGTGGGATTTTGAGTTTGGAGATTTATATTACAATTTAAACCTAAAAGATTAAAATATAATTTATCAGTTATAAATACAAGTAAAATTTTCGATAATCTATCTCTAATTACAACCATATACTACCAAAAACAGTATACAATATCCTTCCAAATGATAAAATAACATTGGAGGGGACTATTGAGTTTAATGAGAATTATTATAATATAAATAAAATAAAAGATTTCTGCATGTTGCGGTGTTCCTATAATAAACAAAATAATGTTTGTATTAATTAAATTGGATAGTGAATAATTCTTTAACTGTTTAGAGGTAGACGTCAAAACTATAGATGTCAAAATATATTAAAAGCAGATACGGCAGTGATTTTCACTAGTAATCTGCTGAAGTGACAAGTATAAACAACAATCCTATTTCATTTTTTACAATTCTTTTAGTCATATGTTAGTTCCACCTCAGCTGGTTCTGATGAGGTTAACACCATTTGTTTTATTCAATAGGTTTCTTGATCTTATAGGTTACTTATTTTATTTTTTTTTTTTTGTCAAATTTATTACTCGGTTTTATTTTATTTAAATTAATCTTTTGTTGTTATTGTAATTTTCTTTTGCAAAACGAAGTTCAGCCATACCACTGGTGCCATTCAAGTTGCTCTTTACATCCAGTAGTAATATATTCTAGGATCAGAGATGTTAACATAATTGAAATATCATTATGTTCCATTTCTGATGACCTTAAACATGATATACCATTTGTCTACTCCGTTCAAGAAAAAATGCAGCTTTCATCAAATTGAATCTACCATCAGTACACAAAGTCGAGTATATCACCAATGGCTGCAATGCCCAGTTTAAAAATTATAAGACAATTATGAACTTGTGTTGTCATGAAAAAGATTTCCTTCTAAAAGGAAGTTGGTGTTTTCTTGTTGCATGATATTTAATAATTTAATAAATACAAACATTATTTTGTTGACCATACCAAAACCGCAACACACAGACATTTTTTATTTTTATTAATATTATATCTTATTATTTAATATACACAATATGATTTATATTATATTACATTGAATCTCATAAACTTAGTAGTCTCCTCCAATGTTCTTTTATCATTTGAAAGAGTATTGCACACTGTAAGTAATATATTGTTATATTCAGAGAGAGATTATAAACATTTTTAATTGTATATATAACTGATAAATTAAATTTTAATTAGGTTTAAGTTGTAATATAACTCTTCAAACTAAAAATATCATTAATATTATTTTTTCATTTGATATTGAATTTTATGCTGTTTTCATTAATATATGATTGTATTGGGGTATTTAGAGAAAGATTTTAGGTACAGCAATTTTTCGATATCGATCAGCATCAATACAAACATTATTTTGTTGACCATACCAACACCGCAACATGCAGAAATCTGAACATGATGAAAAATTATAATGCTAAAGCTTATAAAATCAGGAGACTGGCATTAAATTTATGTCAAATGAATACATTTCTAAAGCTCTTGTTTTATAAATATTGGTTTTAGAAGAGAAAACCAAACAGGTAAATTCTGGTTTTGAGCTTAAAACCTCTTTCCAACTTCAAATATTTCAAAAGTTTAAATGCCCATAATTCTGAAACTAATCGTTAGAATTGAGTAAAATTTGGTATTTTTACTTACTTGTATATTTACTTAACATTTACACATTTTAAGTAAGATCTGAGGGGAGTGGGTGTCTTGTTGAACTTTTTCTGGATTAGGCATGGAGTGACCTGGGTATATTTCTAGATCTGGAGTTGGAAACCTCTTGTGAATAGATAGAAAAAAAAAAATCCATAACATTCTTACAAACTATACATTACCATCTGGGCTTAAGCTGATTCGGCAGAACTTTATTTTTCAGCAAGACAACAATAAAAAATATGCAATTTTCTGAAATGACAGTAACATTAAATAGAAAACAAAAAAAAATTATGAAATATGGATTGTTAAATTAAATCATAAAAAAAAAAAAAAAAAATGAAGAATTCCAATATTAGAATAATTTTAACAGATACACTCAGCTTTCTAGAGTTTTTACGTAAGCTCTTGATGTTAACAATAAATAGTAACGACTGAAGTGGATAACAAAGTAGTGAAATTTAAACAATAAGGCAGCATTTATTCAGCTGGGAAAACACGTCCCTGGGCTGGTTGTCAATTGGAAATGATTCTAATTTAAGTATATATTGCATCTCCAATGTCTGCAAGATTAAATTAGTATTATTCTTTAAGAACCATTGCTGGAGTAAAATAAAATAAAATAATAAAATTTACCAATAGAGATTATATAATCAATGTTGGTACTTATAATTATTTGAAAAAAAAATCCAGGGTTATCAATAGTATATCAAATCAGTTGAAAGTCCAAATTTACTGCAACAAGTTTTTAATTTCAAAAACTGATTACTGGCATTTTCTAGAAGATCACGCTGATTTAAGGGCAGGGGTGTTCAGAAACTGCATTTATTTAAATAATATATTTTTGGTCGAATTCTTTAAGAAAATTATATTAAATAATTTAATACATTTCTAATTTTCGGCACTAATGTCGAAACAGCTGGTGAAAATGCAGGTGCTCACAAACTCATTTGATCTCACTGTAAATATAATTATGAAAATTTTTTAGTGTAACCAAGCTTTTGCGAAAGCGTATTTATGTACATTTATAGGCAGGAATAAAAATGGAATAACCATAAAAACACATCTTGGTATGGACACAACATATTTACACTTCATCAACACTAATAGCTTTACGTATTCATTTTAAGTCCAAGGAACAGTATCCAAATTATGCAGTTAAACAAATGAAATAGACTTTCAAATAGTAATGTAAAACATAATAGCTTTATTGTGATTATTTTTCAGGAAACTGAAATAAAACATTGTGGGAGTGGAAACCTAATGCAGTGTTCAGTCATCTTGCTCCTTCTCTCACTTCTCAATCTGCGATATACATGATCATAGAGGAAATTATTAAAAATTACTACTATTATTGTTATCAAATTGCTAGGAACGTAGTAAACAAAATGCTTCTGTGAAACTGTCGGGAAAAATTATTTATAGCTAAAAAAAAAGATTATTTACTTTACCGTTTAAATTTCAGAAATATAAAAAAATTAAACATATCACTTAATTGTTAAATTTTATAATTTCTTTAAGAAAATCTATCAGGGAAAAGTGTTATATATCTATATAGACCGAAATGTATAACTCTTTGCTATAGGAGCCACTAACACCACAGAATGGCTGGTCTTCACAAATACCTAATGTATTGGTAAAATGAGTTACAATTATTTTTAATACAATTTCTACGGTAAGATCTTAAAAGATAAAAACCTAGAAAAATAATGAATATTGTATATAAATTTGTCTATATTGGTTGTGTAATATTAAATTTAGGGTATTAAATTATAATTATAAATATTTGTTATGAGGTGGGATTTTCTACATATCTACCTTGATTGTATTATACAAGTACAGTTATAAATTATATTTAATAATAAACTAAATACATTACTCTGATTTTTTCAAAATCTGATTTTTTTTTTAATTTGAATTGTAGTTTAGCCCAATAACAAATTTTAGACTATTTTTTTATATAATCCATTATATGTAACTGCCTCAGCAGAAAAAAACAAAAAGATAAATCTTTGATAGAAAAACATAAAAATATAAAAAAAATGGTTGTTACATATAAAAAGTGATAGAAAATGTATTAATACAATACAAAAGGATTCTTTAAAAAAATATTTATTTTAGCTTTACTGTTGTATGGGAGTGTATTATATTTAAAATATATCAATTTTTTTAAAGATAATCTTATTTACATATCATCATGTTATTCTTGAGATCATTTAAATTAAGTGAATTCAAGATGTACAGTGTATTATCATCAGCATGTGTATGTATATATTCATATATGCACAACTCTATGAACCACACAAAACATTTGTATGTTATTTTCTTAGTAACAATCACTTACACATATGTATATATGTGTGTGTGTGTGTGTATATATATATATATATATATATATATATATATATATATATATATATATATATATATATATATATATTTATACACACACACATACTAATGTGTGTTTATGTGTGTGTGTGTATATATATATTTACACTCATACATATACATACATATATATAAATAAACATTTTATGTAGCAATAATTATATTTGTAGATATTTTCTTAAAAACAATTATTTTTTCTCTTGTTAATAATTAGAGTAAAAGAATAAACAGACAAATAATACAATGACAATAATTATTTTTAGTGTTTGTTTCTATTAATTAGTTTGTCTTTGTTATTTTTTGCAATTTTTTATATCACATTTTTATTACAGCATGATATATGTGTGTATATGGACTTTTTATTATACATTATAATTAATTGTACAGATTTTAAATTTAATAACACTTCATCTTGAAATAGAGAAATTGATTTGTTCTGTAGATATCTTAATAAGGAACCAAATTTCATTAGAAAAATGCCCACTCTCCTGACTATATATATATATATAAAACATATATAAATAAAGTTTGATCATCCAATATGGATGTACTAAATTAAAAAAAAAAATATATATCTCCAGGAAAGATAATATTTAATATTATAAAATATTAATATAACCCAACATATTATTAGGGAACATTTAAAAATTTAAATCTAAAAAGTTTTTCTATGACAAGATTAGAAACTTTTAATACATGGCATATACACACATTTAAACTATCATATGAAATGAAGTGATTTAATGGTCGTACTAAGCGTGACTGCACTGATGTAATAAGGGACAATATAAATTAAGGTTCTGAGAAACATTAAAATATATACATATTCAAACTAATTTATGTATTGATTTGCTCACTAGACAAAAGTGGACAGAGAAAAATTTCCTAGTAGCTTAAAAGCTATCTAGGGAATTAAATTTTCTTAACAGATGACTTAGATTACCATTACATTAGTGAGAACTTAACTCACGTTTAAACAAAACCATCCATCAACTAGAAGAGATTTGTTCTTTTAGTATGATCACATTCAGTGATTATAAAATCAATTGATTCTATCTGAACTTTTTTTGATATAAATTCTTAAATAATCAACTGTTTTTCTCTTAGGAGCAAAAATTCGAATACTTTACTCTGAAAGGACAAGTTGTTTACTAAATATTTTTAAGAATCTTAAATTATACGTTTCCTTAGAACCATTTAATAAATAATTTTGAATTAAATTGTTTCTATTAGTGTCAACGTTCAAAGCTTGTTAATTAATTTTTAGGATTACTTTCATGATTAATGGTTACCAGGCTCAATATTTAAAATTGATATCACTTTAAATATTTATTAAGTTTTTTTTACTAAATAAAGCTTTCTTATACAGATTTTTAAAGACATTCCCAATTTGATCGTACCCTAGTTTTTAAGAATTTAAGTGTTTCAAAATGTTCTGTGGTTTTTCATTTATAAGTCCTTAATTACACGTTTACTAACAAAAATAATGAAATAAATAAATTAACAACAAAACAATATATATATATATATATATATATATATATATATATATATATATATAAGTAAGATAAAGTGTACTGAGTATATACAGAAAAATGCATTGTTAATGATTACAAATATAAATCGTTATATTAATAACCAAAATAAATTTACCAAATTCATCATATATGTTTCTAAAATTGTCTGTTTGAAAATGTTTAAACACCAAAGTACATTTTTTCTATCTCATTTGTTATAATCAATAAGGAATGCATTCTCCTTTAAAGGTTATATTAATAATAAACTTACTAAATCTCTGTAGTGTTTGGGAAACACAAAACCTTAGTAGATAGATATGTTGAACTTTTGATGATTTAGTTTACACACCCATGCACACACAAAAACACACACACACACACACACACACACATGCACACACTCACACATGCACACACACATGCACACACACACACACACACACACACACACACACACACACACACACACACACACACACACGCACACTCACACATGCACACACTCACACATGCACACACACTCACAGACGCTCCACACACATAAAGTTTTTCAATTACAGAGTTAACTCAGTTGTTGATTTATCATTTAAAATGATTTTTACTGTGTTTCTTGTAATAATTGTTTTTATATTCCCTTATGATATAAGGAGTTGTTCAGTATTAAAACATTTTGTGATTATCATCTTTTGTTTGGAACATTTTTTTTAGGGTATTAACTCTTTTATTTTGCAATTTCAAGAAATACTTTAAATTCCAATCTTCTTTACTGAGGATGAGCCAGATGACAGGAAATGATATTTAGATAAATTGATAAAGTAGTTTGGAATTTGAGTGATTTAATTTTTTACTGAAATAAAAAAATACCATAAAACAATTTTGAGATTATATTTCTATTGGAATAGATTAAATATGGATATAATAAGATATGCTTTATTTATTTTGATATTGTAGCAATATGATAGTATGATATCATTTTCTCCTTTATTTAAGAGAATTTAGCTGTCATAGGTATTGAAATACTTGGTTAAAAAAACAGTCTTCTTTCATTATACTACCATCAATATTTATCAATTATTTCTAACAAATATCTTCATTAATTTTACAACATTTTTTCAATTTACTGTAGCTATGTAAATACGGTTCATTATTTAATTTATCAGCAATTTTTTAAAATTTGATGTGTTATAAGCTGTAACATCAAATATGGAATTCTAGGACACAGAATAACTGAAAAAAAAAAATGATTTATTTGTCTGATATAAATAATGATATGGTCTTATAGCATAAAAATAACAAAATTCACATAAATATTAATAGAAATACTCAATAAGATTCAGTGATACCTATTCAAGGGAAACAGGTTAATAATAAAATAATTGGAAATATATTAACAATTCTCACAAATGTTTTTGAAACATTTTCTATATCCTTTGTAGTGTATTGTATTTACTTAAATTATATTTTGGTAACTAAATATCTAAATATAATAAGTGAGACATTCTCTTAATTTTTATTACAAAGGGGTTAGTACTAGTAAAGAACTTCACTTAGCTTTATCAGGATAACTAAGTAGCAATTTAAATAAAAAAAGTTTTGCATCAATATAAAAAATTGAAATTCTTTTTGTGGTTAATTAAATATAGTTGAATAATATATATTTTATATGTCTGATACTATTGTAACATCAATCAATTTTCTTATTTAATGAATAATGATTAAAGATGAGAATTGATTTTTATTATTCATTAAAGATAGCATAAATATAAAGGAAGCGAATATCATTTCTATGTATTAAATATCTGTTAAGATCAATAATAAAACATGTTTCTAAATCATATTATGATTATAAATCGAATTGGATGCCAAATATGTTACATGTATTTACACATCAAATAATGTAAAGTTAAAATTGAAGGACTGTTAAGTGTTGGGCTTTGGGAAAAAAATATAAGAGGTAGTAGATTAATTTTTGTTTTCATAAACATATGCTATAATAATAAAATTTAAATCTGTTAAGAGATAAATAAATTATTAGGAAATAAATTAAGCTTGTTCAATTATGTAATATATAATTACTCATGGGATTAACCATGGTTGATTACTCATTAAAATTTTATTTTAATAATATAAACTAATGATTTATAAAGTAAAGAACATTCATGAAAACTGTCACATAACAGTTTTAGTTAAATTTAATGAAAAGGTGTATTGCATTACGGTTTTTTAAAATATTTATTTAATCATAAAAAATGAAAAGTTATTGTTAAGAGTTGATAAATCTTAGTTGCTTTCATTAAAAAAATTAATAATTATTATGAATTACAGTGCCTTGATTCATTTTATATCAAATATTACTGAAAATTAAAGATATCACAATAAGATTATTATATTTTCTTTTGTTTAGTGGAATGA